AAATAAATATTTGATTTGACTTAGAAGTTTTAAAAATGTATTTTATTTATTTGATATAATTAAAAGTTGTACCAGCGTTAATGCTTTTTAAATTTTTAACAAAATACTTACAAGTAGTTTCTTCAGTTTTCTATCCTGTAGTCATGAGGTGTTTTTTTTTAAACTAAATGATTGTTTTGTTTTCTGGCTTGCAATTAAAAAAAAAAAAGAGTTGCTTTCCATTTCCAGTTCACTTTGACAGTCCTAACCCTAACCTGAATGATTTATTAGAGGTTCTGTCTTGATAGAAAAGTAAAAAATGGGAAGACTATCCAGAAGTAGAGTTCAGAAATGAAGTACTAATTGTCTACAATGTATAAAAATTTAAAAATTTAACAACAACAAAAAAGAAAGTACTAACTCTTCAGGATGAAGATTCAAATACAATCAAATTGCACCTGTATGATTTTATAATCAATTAATAACCTAATTAACTGGTTTCTAACAGGCTATACAAAAACTTAAAGACTTTCATACAGAAAATTGTATTAATTTATGACATTTCTGAACTTACTTGAAAAGTAACTTTTTACTCTTAAATCTTATCTCAAAGCCCAATTTTGTAAAATCTTCTTTAAAAATTATGTACTTGGGGCCAGGGTTTAGCTCAGTGGTTCCACCACTGGCCTCGCAAATGCAAGGTCCCAAGTTTGACCCTTGAGACCAAAAAAAAAAGTACTTATATGTTTAATTTATGGAATAGTATTGGTTTATGAAAATAGTCTTTTAAATATTCATTTAAATTATAAATGACCTAATTAGCATTTGAGCTTTCTTTTTTTGTTACTCTGTTTTACAGTATATAAATATGCTTGGAAACCCTGTGTGGAGAGACAGCAGCCAATCTGCTTTAGCTCCCTGTAGCTGTTGGTATCAAGTTTGCATAAAGGAAGGTTCTGGCTGTTTCTGAATCCAAAACTGTACATGGTTTATTTTTTCCATGTGAGGTTATTACTACAAATTTCACTTCTGCTCATATTTTATTTATAAATAATATTACAGTAGCATGCAGATTTCATTTAAAGTGTGTTAAATCTTATTTTCAGCACCACTGACGTGTTTTCTATATCCTTTACATT